ATTATCCAAAACCAAACTAGGGTTTTCAACCCCGCCAAGGTAATCGCTACTATTTTCTTGATTTTACTCCAGGAATAGCCCTCAAATCAAAACCCTAGTATTTTTAGGACCCACATGTTAGCCACATATGTTTTTTATTTTTTCCCAATCTACTTTTGTCGCTACATCGCATCGTGACTACTACCGTCGCTAGGGTAGTAGCGATGAGGAGTCACATATGGGACAAGGAGGCCGTGCCATGTGAGACGTGTCGTCACCAGGGGTAGTCGCAACAACGAGGAATCATGTCGGGAGCTACACTAGAGATGGTGCGAGAGCGAAGCCACTAAAGAGGAGCCTCGCTAGGGCGGGTGCGCAGCCGTGTAGGGGAGGAGGCCGCAGGGGCAGGTACGCAACCGTGCTAGAGCCGGGTGGGTACATAGCCACGACAGGGAGGTCACGCTAGAGTGAGTGCAGGGAGTGAAGCCACCAAAGAGGAGCCGTGCTAGGAAGGGCTAGGGAGGAGGTCATTTCGAGGCAGGTACGTATTGGGGGAGGAGCACCCACGCCAAGAAAGGAACGCATCACAAAGGATGTAGTCGCACTAGGGAAGAGGGAGCCATGTTGGGATAAAGAAAGCCGACACCTGATGCCAAAGATGGCTGGGGTGGCACCATAGAGGGAACTGTGTAGGGACGGCTAGGGAGTTAGTGGCAGAAAGAAATGGAGGGTTAGGTACCACTCAATCAGAAGGGCCCGCTTGATCTAAGGTAATAGAGTGTTTGGTTTGAGAATGAGTTAGTTAATTATCTTTCCACTCTTTACTATTCTATTTAGGGCCTATTTGGATTCATTAGGACTAAAAATTAGTAGCTATTAGCTAGCTAGCTATTTTTTAGCATGGGACTGTTTCGATCCATCTATTGATAGGTGGTTAGATAGTGAGTTGAAAGTACATATTAACACCTATTAGTAACTCTAAACCTGCTAATGAAACTAATAATTAGCAGGTCTATTTGGATTCGCTTCTTATTTTTAGTACTAATGGATCCAAACAGACCCTTAGTCATGAAATGAAGGGTCTATTTGGATGCTATCCTGGTAAACTTGTTTGGGCAGACATCCTTAGTGTTCGATTTCCTAAACCTAGGGTTGATGCTTACTGCCTAGGCATCAGTACCCAGGCCAGGACGCGAAGCAAACACGTTCGAAATATAGCTCGTACCTTACAAGCTACCCACTACATTCCAATTTAGAGGTCACTAGTATAAGGCGCACGCCCTTGCGCGCGTATGGAGTCATAAAATTTTAGATCTGGAGAAGGTGCTGTGATTGACATAGATATATATTTAGGATGTATATATTATTACATATATCAACTCTGGAAAGTGCGGTGACTAGTAAGTTAGTCAGATATATATCTAGGATGTATATATTACATATGTTGTGCTTGAAAGAGCCGACGAAGATGAGTAGAGATATATTACATGTGGTGATAGTATGTTACATTCGGTGGGTTCGTGCAGCTGCTGATGGCTTCATGTGGTTCTTATCAATAAGGGTAACGATCTGAAAGGTCATTGGTGAATGTGCCTGCGCTTTGCCACCCGGATGAGTCTGTGCATGTATCATAGCACATTAGATGTACGTAGATAGAATGGAAGAGTGTTTGGTATTGGGAAAATAATGCTTTACCTGAATTTTCGTGGTAGCCTGTTAGGTGACCTGCGACACAGAGAATAAATGATAAGATAGCTAGGGTCTGATACTGTGTGGGGTAGCAGAATTAGTGGATCATGAAAAAAATGTCCAAATGTGTTTGGTGACCTGTTTCTGATAAGCTGCGTTCATTGTCATCACCAATTTGTTCCTGTGAACCTGTTATCAAGCTGTTACGGTCCAAATATTTGCACATAAGGCTAATAGAAGCAAATTTATAAGACTGGCAAGTGGAAATAGCAAAGAACATTCCATTGTCATCACCATTTGGTTGTTATAAACAGCAAAAAATGTATCCTATCATATGGCCTCTCTCTCCTGGGTTCATCTGCAATTTTTTTGGCAGTACCTAGTTCCAAATAGTACGAAAATGTTCTAAACGTGCATATTATGTTTATAAAAGAAAATCTAGAAATATGACGCGTACACAAGAATGACAGGGCATAGTGACACAATATGATCACCAATTCAAAAGGATATCTACTTTCCTCCAACCCTTTTTTGGAGCAACATACATCTGTTAAGGGTATCAGACCAAAAAATAGATATCAGACCAAATTCCAAAAAGTTGCTACAAAGACCTATGAATGGAGCATTAAATGTATGTTTGGTGGGAAATTGCGAGACTAACGTTTTGAGCCTAATTAGTCCATGATTGAACACTTTACCAAATAAAACGAACGAACGTTTTCCAACTTTGGGGAACTAAACGCGCGCTAAGTTAAAGGTTTCTTCACTGGCTGTTTTTTCCTGCTTAGCGAAAATCAAATGTTTAAGTACTTTATAGACTATCAAGGTGCATAAGAGAGCACACTCAAACTTTTAAGCTGCCAGATGGGTTGGATGTGTGGTTTTCTGAGTTAAAAAGCTTTGAAGAGAGCTAAGGTCATGGTCATGGCAGCAATCTGCTTTTTCAGTGTCTTGGAATAGCTTTCTGCAGGCAGATTATGTAGCTGCTGCTCACTGTTTGTACTGAGACATGAAAACAGCAAAAGGTGAAAAAGGAACTGAGGCTGTGCATGAATGTAGATTATGTACAGAGGTGTTACTGGGGAATATGACTTAGTCAGTCAAAAGATGTTTTACTGGTGTCTGGTCAAGGCTAGTTGCAGGTGGAGGTGCCTACAAACGGAAGCCTGCTCACCTAAGCTTTTCCTACAGCTGCTGCAGATATGGCTGCATGAAGTCTTCTATAAGTGAACAGCAGCGGCTGAGATATCTTGCTGCAGCAAGTTGAACCGACCAGGCTTAATAGTTCGTATTTTAGCTCGCATAAATTAATATGAGACAATGCAGGTTCAAGAATCAAAAGAACAGCTATATTTGGAGCTTTCGAACAAAGAAAACACTCTTAAAAATGTTATTGTTCATGTGATCCTAGAAAATTATCAAATGTCCATGGCAAGAGAAATAATCAATATATTGCCTGTGGGTGTGCTGAGAAAATAAAAGTTCAACTAGATCTGCAATAGCAAACCATACCTTGTCTATGTAGATTGCGTTTCAACAAAAATACTTGTCTATGTAGAAACCGTTGTCTATGTAGGAACCACAAAACAAAAAAAAAATCCAAATGACCAAGCAAGGGTGACTATCCTCAGGAATTTTAGCAGGTACGGAACCTTTAAGTAAAATATAGGTTAGAAGGGGAAAAATAAGGTTAAGAGTTGATACGTAAATAAAGCTCCAAAGCTCAGAGGCACTTACCTGAATATTTTCACATGCCCTTTGACTGCTTTTGAATAAAATTGTGAAGCCACCTTGACACAGTATATGTAATCATCCAGGACAATCATCACGAAGCAAATGGCCATGCAGTATGCAACAAAACTGATATAGCAATAGTGGTGAGTAAGCCACAATTGCCATGGGACAAAGCAGCAGAGGGGATCTTATCTGTTTGTCTTGGTCAAATGGACAGGTAGAGCAGGCTGCCAATAACAGCAGAGCAGATTCAAATGGACACATTTAAGGCTGAACATAGGCATGAACAGTGTGAACTGAATCATAGATCAAACCTCCTGAAAAGGTTTGAATTACAATGGACCACGTGAAGCAACCATTTAAAGGTGATATGATCGCTACTTTCCAATAGGAACATCGTTCTATATCTGGACATCACAAAAAAAGATAATTTTGATAACTGCAAAGTTCTTTTTACAATAAGCATATAGAATGGTACCTGCTGATTACTTTTATTGTCAAAGAACGACACCCAACACTATGTTGTCTCTTCCTTTTTGGCTTGCAAGCAGATACCAACCTCACATTAGTACCTGCAATTTGATGAGGCTCAATTAATAGTATGAATGCTCAAGATCTTTGACCTTACATTTTTCTTTCAATAATTTTTTGTTTCTGTCAAACATACTGATTTATTGGAAGGAAAGCCTATGTTACTACCTTAATTTGATGAGGCTCAATTTGAAAGAAAAGTCGAAGATGACAGACAAATATTTTCATCCATGTAAAGATGGCAGACATATTACTTTTGTATGGCCAAGGCCTACATTTGCCTGTGTAGCCTCCACACCCAGGGAAAATAAACTCGTTCTCTTAGTATTGAAGGTAATAGTACACTAAATAAGTGGACTAAAACACAAGCAGTATATAGCATCCCAGCAACTGAATCTAGGACCATTGCAAACTCGTAGTACAGCAGAAATTTGGAAGACCATTACTTAAGACGTCAGCATGTTTAGTCATCTTTTATCATTCTATAAATCTTTCGAAGACGAACATAATGTCATCCAAGTTCATATTTCTGGATAGGTAACACTGACCTCCATAAGAGGGAAAAAGCAAGGAAACTACTCTGGTAAAGAAATAGTGTGGCAGAAGCAAAAAAAACAATGTGCATACTTTTTAGTGGCATATGTCGTTCATTGCTCAAATATGCAAAGTGTTGAAGAAAAAAAATGCTTGAACAAAGTTGTCAGTTCTGTGGCACTAACCAAGCAATCAACAGGCAATTGAACTAATGTCAGGCCAACTGAATTCAGTAGATAAATTGCACAGTTTTACATGTACGGGGTCACATAATATAACAGAAGTTGTACCTTGGCCAAAATAAGGAACAAACACGTCGTTGATAGCTTTGCTGGAGGCCCAAAACATACTGAATAAAGCACTGCCCTGACCTCGCAAAGCAACAATTACACAGCCACCTGTCAAACACTTCTCAGTTCAGCGACACCATCACAGCCAAGCACATGTCACCAAACGTGAGCAGTAGAGTATGGGGTTGGTGAAGAAAGCCCGCACCGTGAGCCTCATGCAGTCATTTGTGGTGTCAAAGAGGTTCAAGGCGTAAGCGACTGCGACGTCTCGCCGCCATTCAGGAACAACGCGACGCGCTCGTTGAGGTCACATGTCATCTTCGAGTAAAGGTCAGCGTGCCGGGCTGGGACCGAGCTGGAGTCACCTGACACAAAAACCAGAAAAGAGTACTGGAACAAATTATTGGTGGACATCAAGAAACTGCAAACGAATGGGACCGTCAGGTTGCAGCTGCTCCCTGCAACCACAACGGCATGGCATGCCTTTGAGCGCAGGAACCCTGCAGCCCCAAACGACGAAGAGGTTCACTGCCGCTGCAGCGCGGCGGCAGCGCACCAGCCGGCAGACCCGCCCCTCCCTCGACGATGCCCAGCCCCCCGGCTGGGTCCCCTCCATTGCCGGTGCACAGTAGTCCACCTCAGATCCCTCCGTCCCGGGCGCACCTGCCGGCATGACCGCCCTCAGACCCTTCTTCTGAGGCCGCTTCTTTAGAGGGCATGCAGCATCTTGCCTTGGACCCCTCCATCGCAGTAATGAAGGCCCAGCATCTAACTTGTCACCACTTGCTGAGAACAAAGGGGAAAAGGAGGGGGAAAATCATGATTCCTGGCCAGGAACAGCTAGATCCGTGCAGAGAAGAAGAGAGGGGAGAGGAGAGACACCATGTCTAACATATGAAGTTCCTGCACTTATATTTTCTGAACAATAAAAAGAGCAATATATTAGGCATTGGTCAGAGACTAATATACATGTTGGTGCTTTCTTTTTCTTTTGTCGTTGGTTACAGGCTCACAGGTATATTAGGCATCATGCCTTACCTGATATATTATCCCACAGTCCTTAATGATTCGTTGTTGCCATCGCCAAAATAATCAAGCCTTAAAGAAAGGGGGAAATAAGTAAGAAATGGCAAGGCTCGCTGAATCTGTTTTACCTGTGCTGGCCAGGCACTTGATGAACCTGAAAATATGCACAACACGACATTGACCTTCATTAGCATTCTGAACTGAAGTATAGGAAAAAAACTCTAGAAATTATGTTTTTGGTCCAATAATTAGAAGGAGTATTATGGAGACAATTGTAGATAATAATCCAAACTATTTTAAGCAAATGCGATGGACTATGTAGCTAATCCCTAACTCAATCGTCCAATAAATGCACTTTAGCTTTTCATCACGGACTTGCATGACCACAAGTAATCATGAATTGATCATAGGACAAAGAGGGAAGAATACATGAGTACGTAGATAAATTAAAAAGTATAGTGTGAAATGTACTTATATTCAGATATTTTAGAATTCTAGATGTTACCATAGACTGAAGGAACCATTATATATACACATAGTTTGTTGGCACCAACAATACAAATCTGATTTAGAGGAAGTCTACACAAAAAAAAAACAATAGGGAAAAGTACACCTGTTTAATCAGCGTAGCTAAAATGTGAAGGAAAACCTATAGTCTACAATAGATAAATACACAGCTTGTTGGTACCAACAATACACTATACAAGAGAAGGAGCCTAGTTGAAATCTAAAGGAAATATAAAGGAAGACTTATAGTGTGCAATAGAAACAGTAACTCGTTTCCTAGCGCATGGCTCAGTAGTCATATGTTAAACTAAACTAATCGAGAGAAAACTATTATGAAAAACAGTTTGTTTGTGATAGTCGTTTCCTAGCACGTGGCTCAGTTGTCATACGTTAAACTAAACTAATCGAGAGGAAACTGTTATGAAGTAGACCTATAGTGTGCAATAGAAACAGTTAGTTTGTTTGTGGTAGTCGTTTGCTAGCACATGGCTCAGTTGTCGTACGTTAAACTAAACTAATCGAGAGGAAACTGTAATGTCATTATCTCATTGTATTGAGCACAGATAACTAAGATATTACGTCTCAAAAAAAAAGATAACTAAAATATTTAATTTTATATGAAACATGGGTGTAATATCTAAACAAAAAGGACATTCAAAAAAGGGAAAAAAATTAGCAATAGGGAAGGAGGGATTTATGAAAAATACCTACATATGACTCATTGAGCGTACGCAACACATAATAATTTATCTGTTTGTGAGCTGCATAAACAATAAGAAATAAGCACACTAGGTTAAATTGTTATTAAGCATGGCAAAATCGTAGGACGACCCCTCTTCACCAACCCCTCTTCAGCAACGGTATTTTAGGAGTAAAGAACCCTAAAAATACCTAAAGAAGCAACGTTCAAATAAATCCAATCTAAATAAAGCATGGACACAAAAACGGCGGCTTGGTCATCGAACACCACAGGACACTGCATAGTGAAGGGGTGGAGCCTTCCCAGCGACGAAGACTGGATAGACACCCGTCTCGGATGCCAACAAGGGAGGGTGAATGGGAAGGTGAAGGGGGTGAAGAAAGACAACGCACCTTCACGCGTTGGAGGCCTCCCGAGCCGAGGGACGACTGGCGACGGGAGCGGTGAAGCAGCCGGGAGACGGAGGGAAGAGCGAAGCCAGCGAGAGCAAGGGGAAAGGAGCGGAGGAGGAACTGCTGGCCACGAAGCCGAAGATATTTGAGACTTTTTTAGCGCCAGCAATCCTCACAGTGTTCTTTGGAAATTCGTGAAAGGAGGAGGAGGAGGAATCTGTCGAGATCTATAATTTTCATATAAAAATTATTTTCTGCTGATTTGATACGAAGCCGAAGAAAATATTTTTATATGAAAATTACCAATTTGCGGTTGAGGTTTTACGGGCGAGCGACGTGGACACTGGTTGGATTTCAGGTGACATGGCCGGTGCGAGCGACGGGGGAGCAACATCGGTTCGAAGAGAAGGTTAATTTCAATTTTTATAGAGGTTTACAGCGACGTGGACACTGGTTGGATTTCAGGTGACATGGCCGGTGCGAGCGACGGGGGAGCAACATCGGTTCGAAGAGAAGGTTAATTTCAATTTTTATAGATATACACAATTTTTATTACATACCGTATATTTAGCTACATAGTTTTTATATATTAGACATGTAGTATATTTAAGTGTATAGTAAAAACTACGTAACTAGAAAAGCTAAAACAACCAATAATTTGATTAATATTAGTATGAGAAATAGAATTGATCCAACAAATTTATAAAATAAACTCACAACGTATTACCTCATCTAAAATGGTTTGATTCATCAAATCAAACACCCTATAAGGTCCTCATCCAGAGCCCTCGAAATGAAAGCTTGAGGAATTTAAGACCTCTTACTTTGAAGAACTAAGTAGGGGCCATGCTGTTTTTTTTTTCCTCTCCAATCATCAAAAATAGCGTAGGGGATCAGGGGATCATCACCCTATTCGCTTGTTTCTGATAAACCGGCTGATGCTGTTTTATTATAAGAGAAAAACATTGTACTATGACTAATAAACATGGCTGATACGATCGAAGCGAACAGAAAATTGCTCCTTGCCAATATCTCGTAATAGGAAGATAAGGAACTAGAAATCGAGCAACATCATAAAAACTTTACTTTCCGCATTCATTCTCTAAACATGCTTGGCACTTCTATTCGTTCTTTTAGGACTCGACAAGGAGATATCTACGACAAAATTGGGCTGCCCATTGAACACCACCATCTACATCGTCAAATTAGTCCTATCGTTCGGTTGACCGCACACCAAGGTTGTCGATCTTCATTTTGTTGGCCGCTCCCAGGACGTCTCTGACGTGAGGTTGTTCCCATAATAGACCTGCTTAGTAGACTCATCCAAGTATGCCTGCACAAAGAGGATAACGCAAGTAAGCAGTGCTAAGCAATTTGTAACACATGGCATGGCAGATGAACAAGGTTTTACAGTACACTCCACAGGAATACACTAATGACCAATGTTTCGTGATTGTTCGCTTCTTTGTATCAGTTGGAATAGATATCAAACTCTTGGAAGCTGCAGTGGAAGCTACCTCTGATTGTATGTATATAACATTAAACACAGCTCAGTATGTTAGCATCTGATATGCTACAATCTAGAATACTTACCTGCCAGCCTGTAGGAAGACCCTTGGAGAGCTCTGCTAGATCTGGAGGTCCTTTATGCTGTTCGGAACTACTTAAAGATGCAGCAACAATGTCATCTTTTGATTCCCTTTTTGCTTCAGCCCTTCTACGTTTTACACGGTCATGCCTGCAAAGATTCAAACAATCATCACTAAGCTACCTGGTAAAATCCATACAAGAAACCATGTCGCCATTAATGATGTTCAGCTTCACAATACACAGGTTCTCAGCTATCCTCATAAGAGGTCTGTTATCATAGGCAAATCAGTCCCCCAAAGAGCCTATTATTAAATGTAGCTAAAAATGGGGCTTCTTTAATGTAACCTGAAGAATGTACACTACGCATGGCATTAAACACCTATTGCATGAGTGGCGCTTCTTTGGGTGTGGGGAGTATTGGGTTCTAGTTCAAATTCTAAATAAATCACAAAACCTTCAAATGAGAATACCTACAATGCAACGTATACCATAAGAGAAAATGCTAAAAAAATATATTCCCTTAAGTTTCAAGAACCTGGCACTGAACTGATCTTCTTTCAGCTATGTCAGCAACCTAAAAGCTTTCCAACAGGTGTTTTGACACACTCGAACCAGTTTAGCATTGGTGCCATGCAGAGAACATATAGAAAAAGGATGTTGCTTCAATTTTTTACTCTAATAAAACATGCAAATCAATTGATGCAAGGGAAAATCTACATGAAAATATGGTACACATGTATGCACAGTATTCAAGAAACTATTAGGTGTGGTAGAGCGACCAAAAATCCACATTGATGAGAAAGGTAGGTACTTGAACTGGTTAGAACATTTCCTTCTAACACAACTTTAGATGCAGGAAGTTGTCACTGTTTCTAAAAATATTCTCAGGCCAAAAGTCAAACATTGATGTGACTACTTTTAAACAAATTGGACATCACAGGGAGTGAAATTGTGAGAGGAACAAAACTGGCCATAACCATGACAAATGCCAGAAAATTTATGGTAAATTTTGTATCTAGCTATTAAAATCAACCATCATAAGGCAAAGAAAGAGTACCAATCACCACGAACAGGAACAAAATTGGCATTTTCCTGAGCCTCTCCGCTAGCAATCTGTTGTTTCCGCCATTCCTGAATCAAATGGGGCACAATTTAAATTCAGAACACTTCTGAGAAATTTTTGCATGCATGCTTTAAAGAGAGGTAAAGAGCAATTTACCTCTATTTCCTTTTGCCGCTTCCTTTCTAATGCCTCAAGAGCACTTTCAGGCTCCTCTTCTTCGTCGCGAAGTTCCTCTTTTGCAGCTTTCCACTGTTAAAAGGAAAGCAAAACAGGCTGATTCAGCAAAGTGATGTTGCTAGGGCAACAATTATTTACACAATCACTACTAACCTTAGTTTAAACCTTACCACAAAAGCAGACTGATAAAACTAACTAGCAAACGGTTACCATGAACAAAAAATAACCAGGAAACAGAAGGTTAAAACAGAGAGTCCACTATTTCTTCTTGACATGAAACATTCGGAATCTTGCAAACCATACCATGGTATTAAACCCTTGATATTTTACACTGGATTCTTAGATAGTTGAGACTTGAGAGCACATCTCAAATCAAGAGTAAGAAACTAGGATTTGTTGTCGATAAATATATAGGAACATGCTAAAAATTTGTAAATTTCAGGCACAAGTCACCACTAAATATTTGCACCCATATGCAATAACACCATAGAGAGATTGGTTGTAGAGAGCAACCTTATCCACCAAACTTGAAACCTTCTTATTAGATCTCAGAGACGATGTAATACCCACAGCCCGCTTCTTGCTACGAATAACTACAGAACAGCACAAATGGTCAAACAATGTGATGAGGGTAAGATGAATTGTCCAAATAAAGAAATTCAAAATAGAATTACCTTTGGACTGATTTGTAGTACTGCTAGAAGACTGTGTAGAACTTCCAAGAACAGATGTTGTTCCTGCAACTGATGTTGCTACTACAGCTTGGGTCAAAGGCACAATACTTGCATCATTGGATATAACTTTATCAAGACCTTTGAGATCTGAATTGCTATTTGCAGAAACAAGAGAAGCTGAGCTTGTTTTGATATCTGCTGCACTGCTAGAAATGGCAGAGGTTGATGAAGCGTAGTATCCAGAATGTTCTGCTGCTACTGCGCTGGCAGACATAGTGACTGAAGGATAGGTATAATAAGATTCTGGGGAAATAGATGTGCCATCAACAGAAACAGATATGCCACTCCCAGATACTGGTGCATAATAAGAATGATGCTGTGCGTGAAGGACATGAGGCTCACTAACTTGCATATAGTAACTGGCATTTGTACCTTCTGTACCGACAGTACCATAGTACTCCATTCCTGAAATTGTATAGCCAACATTTGCTTGAGCTATATATGGCTGAGGAATTGAATCAACCTGAGCATATGATGCAGATGGCTCTTCTGGGGGAGCTGGAGGAGCTGGTTCATTTTCAGGTGGTGGAGGTGGAATCCATTCCTCTTCTGGTGGAGGCGGAGGGACAGAATTATCCTCAGAAGGTGTAGGATCTTCAGATGATGGTAAATTAGATAAATTCAACTGTTCTGATGGAGGATGCTCCTTTGTAGGTAGAGGACTGCAATGTGCCTGCTCTTCGACATTATCTTCATCAACTTCCATTTCCACATCCATATCTTCATCATTGTCAGAATCAACTTTTGGAGGAACTGCTGCAACATCCCTATCTTGTGAATTCTGAGCAGATGATGTTGAAGCTGGCTTATCAATCTCCACTTTTTCATTGATAGTAATCCCAGCACTAACCTCAGACTTCAAAGCCTCACCATTGGAGGGTGTTGTCATGTCAGCTTCATCAGGTGCCTTGTGTTCAGCAACCTCTGTCTTCAAATTCCTAGGTTCTGTATCAGCATGGTAGCTCATTTCCAGCTTGGAAATGGAAGAGTCTAGTTGCTTAAGGTGCACCTCAGCATGCAACCACAATGGGAGCAAAGAAGATCCATATGATGAGAGTGCATTGCAGTCTGATATCCGTATCCCGATTTCTCTTCTTATCAATTCAAGACCATCGTTTGAGCCACAGAGCCTACAATGATAATAGCTCATTAGTTTTCTACACTCTAGGAACAATAATGCATGCAAAGTAACAAAAGATAAAACTAAAGATAATAAAAGCACCTTTCGAGCAGGTTCAATCTTTGCAGCAAATCATCACCGTATTTTGCAAGATACAAAGGATCAATGTCCATAGGCTCGTGACTGGCGATAGGAGCAGCATAAGCATAAGCATCTTGAGTAACCTGTGCACTTCCACATGCCATTCCAAAATTAGCATAAGTTGCTGTGCCATTCCCAACAGACATGTCACTTGGATATGCTTCCAGTGTGCTGTGAGGAAGGACATGGGTTTGTGCTTCTATTGAATAGTCCACATCAGAAGGAACAGATGCAGCTGCAACTCCTGAAGTTAATCCATTTGGTATGTCCCACGAAGTTTCTCCAGTAACTGTGTTCCAGTAATAACACTGATTACTCTGCTCATGCATTACTGCTTTCCAATTTCCACCGACGTCACCAACAATTTGCATGCCAGATGAATCAGGAACAGATTCAGTTGCTTTCACACTCTCTTCTTGTAGAGTTGACTCAGGAGCAAAAGTGTTTTCTTCAGTAATACTTTGGGTATAGTTCTTAATATCACCAGATTGAGGTGCTTCTTGTTGATCACCGACAGAAGCCGATGGTTCAGTTCTTGTCACGCCATTATCACTAGTTAACTGAAATAAGCAAAATATGGCAAATGTTGCTTACATGCAATAATGTCCTCTAAGGCTCTTAACAGAAGATAGATGCAATTACAATTTATGAAGAAGCTGAACAAACAGCATTGCATGAAGCACAGTTATGGTCTGAAAATATATAAATTAACAAAATTTACTCATTAACAAAAGTAAGTTCAGTACATTTAAGGCCACATTGTTGGAGACTTCAGCCAATAAGTACTTTCGCTAGCTTTGGTGTATAATTTTCCATAATGGCAGAGCCGAATTTCATTACCACGAAGCAACAAAATTGCAAGTGTTAGGTTTGTCTACGGTGACACAAAGAAATGGAAGCAAAAGCCATCACCTCTGAACACAAAGGGTTCAGCCGGCTAGGCAAACTCCCAATAAACCTACTTAAAGCCGGTTACAGCTGACTACAAAGTATAACGACCATAGATAAACTCCACACTCCAGAAACACTGGTAACAAGCCAACGGCTAACACCACACACAAACCAACTTTGGCATATTTGGCACACATAGTACAAAACTAGACTAGGTTTCTATGTTCACCCAAGAAGGTTCAACATATTTGACCGACAGGAAAGAGTAGGAATATGGAATTACCTGAGCACTAGCATCTCCTGGACTCCCCTTAGCTTCACCAGTGGGTTTATCTGCTGCTTCCTCATCTTCCTCTTCATCATCACTATATTGCCCAAGCAATGCTAGAGGATTATCCTTTTTATCTGAAAATAAAATTACATGAAAATTTCAGAAATAAAAAGGTTTTTGTGGTGTGGCAAAATACAGTGAAGCTCTTTTCTGAAGCATACATAATGAAATCAACAGTGTTGTAAAAAATAAACAGAATATTGTACTGTTCAAATTATTAATGTGAAGTTTACAGAAATCTGGTCATAAATAAGAAGACCAGGTTAGGAGCTACATACAAAGAAAGAGACATACGAACCGAGGAAGGAACAATCACATCCTGAAATCCCCAAGCTTAGATGCTGCCAAATGAGAAATTACCCATAGGCATTCACTCAATTTTGACAGTGGCAGCTCAGTCTGAAGAATTTACTCAATGTTCCTTGCAGGCCGGCAACCCTACATGTATCTCAGAACCAGATATGCAGAGGTATACATGCTTGTACACAAATCCAAATTTCCACCATATTTATGTTCCATAATCCATAGGCATGTCTTCTTTACATATCCCTTGGAAGGAAATTGATGAAACCCACCTGAAGAAGATGGAGAAGTGGGAACCACAGTCTGTTGGTCACGGTTTTCACCTCCTATTCCATCATTATGTGATGCCTCCCCTACAACTTACAGTATCAAAAGTCAGCTTATTTGCAATCCATGCCAACAGGTCAGCGCCAAATGGTATATCATTTACCTGAATCTTATTAATATTCAGTGTGTCTACTATTACAAGAATCACAAGAATGTGTAGTTTCTAGTCACCCATGTATCACTCATATAAAAGAAGATATCTAAACATAAGATTCCTACAATCATAAGCGGCTGATGCAAACAGTTGCATTGATCATCCTTCATAAAAATCCAACATCAGCTTTTTTCCGTTACCCTAACTGACATGTGAGTAATATTTGCATCCATTTTTATTGCTTTGTTGATAGAGGTGACTAATGGGTAACCTATTGTGCACAATTAGATCTACACCCTCCGAAAACCCATCTATTGCCCTAGGCCTCCACCAGCACAAGTGAGGTATGTCTCAGCATGCATGTTGGACCACTTCCACTGTCCTAGCCACAAGATTATGTTCCCTAGTCATGGATACTTCAAAATGTGATTGAAACATTCAAACATAGGGCCAGTGTGGAATTCCTTCAATGTGCTTGCTACTTATTATGCCTCAAAAGAAGGTTACCAATTAGATGTTGGTACAGCGAAAGAGTATTGACACTAGAAGTGATTTTGTTCTATATAGGTCTGTAGATTTGGAAGTTTTGATCATTTACCTGACACAGCCTCCCAAAATACTAGGGAATTTAATTATGAATTCTAATAGATTTGCAGTAAAAGGGGCTGAAACTGTGACAACTGTATTTCTCACTATATCATTGAAACTGTAACTGGCTTGGTGCAAGTTCAAATAAAGTAGCAAAAACGCAACACTAAACACTTGTGGGGCACGCAAAAGTAGCAAGGTCAACAGTACCAATGCCTTATATCAGTCTTATTGCCTTGTGTGAGTGCGCAAACGCTGACATCGATGCTCATAGCAACTTAGCAAGCAGTTTCTGGTGATAAAGACCAATCAAACGACTTATCAGCATCCAACTGTCCGAAACCCAGGGTACAGTGAATCATATTTGGCCTCAATCAAGCTGTGTGGATTCAGAAGACCGGACAGACCCGATTTGCGAAACACTACGACCATGACACGGTGAGCTCCTAGCTTCCGTACCAATCAAGCAGAACCGAGAGTAATCAATTTCAAGCTGGACAATTAGGGCGAGCGACCAGAGATCGATAGCAAATCTCCAACCATGTCAAGACAAGCTAGGGCGCATAGCGATTAAACACAACCACATCGAACCAAACCGGGGGGAGGCGGAACTTACCGGGGGAGGGATCGAGGAAGAGGTCGAGCTTGACCCTGCGGCCCGCCGCGGCCATGGCCGCTAGGCGTCGCTCCTTCCTCCTCCCCATCGGCCGGGCACCGAGGGTTTTCGATGCGTTGGGGTGGGGCGAGAGAACTGAACTAGGGTTAGGGTTTGGAGGTCTAGGTGGGCAAGCCGCGAGGGTCTCTCGCAGTCTCGCCGAACAGAGGAGGCGAAGGGGACGGGCGGGGGCCGGAGGGTCGTGAACCGGCGGCGGGCTCGTGGCCTCGTGGCGTGGGTGGCCGCGTCGATGCAGGGAACCTTCTTCTTCGGCCCCGTTCGCGTGCCCCGGTTTGATCCGTTTTTTTTATTCGCAACGATGTTTTCCTCTCGTAAATTTCTTCAACCATGCATGCAGATTCTTTTAGATTCCTTCACATTCCTCGAGCGAACGGGGGCTTCATGTCTACCACGAGCTAGATCTAAACAGCATCTAAAGCTCATTTTAGCTGGTCCAGCGCCAGCCCACTTCAAATCAGGCCGATCTCGTTTCTTGAGATTTTTAAGCCTTTCATTCAGGGGTATTTGGTACTTGAGTGGGCTCCTTGGACCGCACCTCGAATCATTCTCTTATCTATTTGGTAGAGATTAAAAAAAATTAGATCTGGGATTCACTATGCATCACTTATCTATTTGGTGGAGATTAAAAAAAATTAAATCTCGGATTCACTATGCATCACTTATCTATTTGGTAGAGATTAAAAAAAATTAGATCTGGGATTCACTATGCATCACTGGGAAAACCAGTAGCTCCAAATCGACGCTCCAAATCGACACAAAGGGTATTTTGATTGGAATGGACAGATTTACCCTTGAGATAGGCATCATGTGTCCCTGTCTCCTTCCTGGGTCCCACGCGTTAGGAGAAACAAAAGCATCTTCTTCCTTCGAGCTCACGAGGGGCGCGTGGTCGCCCAGGGCGCTCATGGCCTAAGCGGTGCGGCCGGCTCATGGCCAGCGGGGGGGCACGTGTGGCGTGGCACCCACCTGACTGGCGGCGTCCGACTTTGCAACGACGGACACGCACGCGGCCGGCGCGCCATGCTGCTTGTGGCGGGGGCGCTTGGCTAGGGACCCGTGTCCTGGGCGACGGGGCGCGCACGGCCAGGGCACACGAGGAGCTCGTGGCGCCTAGCCATGGCGGGACACGGACGAACGGCGAATCTCGCGTGGGTCCTAGAGGTGGCATGGGTAGTCGACACGAACACTCGAGCAGACGCAACTCGTCGGGGAAGAAGGCTATCAAAAGAAAAAAAAAATAGAAAACAAATCGGTACGTGTGTAACCGGTGGCAGTGGTGGGTAATTTTCCCTAACTCTACCAAACTTGAGTTGGTGGAGCACCTCTTGAGGAGCTCCACCAAAATGGTGAATTTGGCCCCTATCCACCGTTTTGGTGAATCCGGATTTGGATGATCCAGACCGTTTGGCAAATTTTTCATGGAGTGGAGCTAAAAATGTTGCATATGAAGCTGGTGAATCTCTACCAAATAGCCCCTATATCTTATCTTATTATATAAAAAAGAGTGAGTTAAATACATTGGCAGCCCTTAAACTTGTGGTGTTGTGCCACTTAGGTCCACAAACTCTCAAAATCGAAATTCGACCCCTGAACTTGCTAAATGATTCATTGTAGGTCAATACCCCTTCGGGAGGCTCCGACTAGGATATATTTTTTTTTACAAAAAAAACACCCTACTATAGTTATGTTCTATTTCCGGCCATCCTTGCCTAGTCGCTCGTCTCATTGCCGCCACTACCCGAGCACTATGCGCACACCACCTTGATAGCGACAACAGTGGCTTGCTCAATGTTGCGCTCATCGCGGCCTCCTAGTGGCACTAGTTAACCATTTTCAAGCATTTTGAAAGACTTTTCTCTTGCACCTCACGTCACTAAGTGTTAATCATATGCAATGTTAATGAAATCTAGTGGTACTAGATAACCATCTCAACTTGAGAGCTCCCCACTTAATAGTACGGTTATCTATCATAAATCCCGATCATGCACTATGTTGCATCTTGACTGAAAAACCAGACACCTATCTTATACATTTGCCTTCAATCCATATGGTTTGTTTTCTCTTTCTTCTTTTTCCAAAGGTTGAGCACTTGATCACATGTGTTGACGGTAGTTGTCATACATTATAAACTTCAATATAACTTGAAATAATGCATGAAAATGATCACCAACATAGACTTAGGGGGTTTAAACTGATAATTTCTATAAGTTTTGGTGAATCTATATTTTTAGCATGGTTATTTCAGAAAACCGTCAAGGGGATCAAAACGATAAATAAAATTGCGCTTATCCGCGGCGAAACCAACTCTAAAAGGTTTCAGAGGACTTCAGAAGCCATGTCACCGAAGCAGAGGACGAGAGGGTGATAGGTGGGGCTGCCCGGCCCCAGTTGGAGGCCGCCCGGCCTCTAGGGTCCCACCTGTCAGCCCCATTGCTACGTCGGTTCTCCATCGCCTTAAGGATTGCATCTACGTCATTTATTCAAGTCGGTTTAATCCGACGTCTCACGTTAGACGCTCCAGCCAAATAGATAAGTCAAGATCAGACCAAAAATTAGGGTTTTCAAAGAGAAGAGAGTAGAGCTCCAATTTTTTAAGTTTCTAGTATAGGCTAGCTAGCAAGGTTCGAGTAGAGTGTGGGCTATTGCTCAGGATTTCGGATCTGCCATTTGGAGACTGATATAGCCATTGTATCTCTATATTTATGACTTTGTGATACTTTAATATTATGTTGCTATTTATTATGTTCCTAGTTTGCTATAGTTATATGCTTGATATAGTTATGATTGATGATGAATTTATGCATATGTTCATAAAGCTCTTAGCTTAGTACTCGAGTGAGTTAAGTGGTCGACATTATGTAAGCATGGTGCTTAGATATTGTTTGCCTGTGGATGCATTCTGCACTCTGGGTCATGTGGTAGATCATGGATGTGACACTCCCGTTGAGTCCTTTGTAGTCCACTCCCCGTTTGTAGAGTAAGTAGAACGCAGTTGCGAAGGGAGACAAGCTCTGTTCTTGATCTTCCTTAGTAATGTTCTTCATGCATAGATCCAAAGTTAGTTACACTATAGATGAGAGTGTATATACTTGGGTGTACAAGAGACTTAGTAAATAAGGATTGACTTAGGAATCTTTTGCTCTTAATGAATCTCCTGCTTAGCCGTACTATATTTTATGAGTCTCTATTTCTATCTTTAAAATACCATTATTACCTTACACTTATCATTTATTTATCCCTTGACTTACCCCTGCCATAGCATGAGAGTGATTTTATCATAAGTATATATATTTGTCAATATCTCTATGCCAACACAACTCCATAGCTCCTTCCTGTGGTTAAAATATAAATAACGATACTCGGTATACTCCCGGGTGAAATGCTACAATGGTACATTATCTGTGCGCTTGCGGATTACTTAGTATATATATAAATTTATAAGTGTTCTCAATAATTACCAACAACGCATTTTTGGCATCATGCTAGGGATGACAATTTAGTAAAGAGTGATGCTAAGAAATGCCAACAAGTATTTCTGGCGCCGTTGCTGGAGAGGGGTACATGGCTAAAGAGAATTGACCAAATAAATATTTATTGATGAAATAATAACCTCTACTTTAGCAAGCTTACCCTTGTTTGTCTTTGTTCATATCTTATACAGCGTATTGCAGACTTGGTTGTGATTCACCAACAACTTTCAATCAAAATCAACCAAATCAAGAGGAAGCTTAACACCAGTTTCTAAGCTATGGCTGACAAGACCCTACATGAGTTCTCTGCTCCAAGCACCGAGAACATTCGCACTGGACCAACACTTAGAACCAACAACCTTGAGTTTGAGCTCAAGCCAAGCCTCGTAAACATGGTGCAAGCTACCCCATTCAACGGAAAGGCACATGAAGATGCTAGTGCTCACCTTTAGAATTTTCTGGAGATTAGCAACACAGTCATCATCAAGGACGTTGCTCAAGACATCATACTACTCCGTCTGTTTCCATTCTCACTAGTGGAAAGAGCGAAGCAGTGGTTTTACATCAACACTTGGGTAAAGTGTCCAAAAGCCTTCCTAGAAAAGTTCTTCCCTATAGGCAAGACCAATGCCTTAAGAGAAAAGATTTCCAGTTTCTAACAACAAACAGGAGAAACCATTCTAGAAGCCCTGTGGCAGAACCGCCTAATCTAATGCCTCACAGGAGTGCTTGTATTTCATTAGACACTAAGCACTTGAGGGAGAACACTAAATTACTCGGTTTCATCGGACACACCCCAGGGGAGAACCCGAAAATCCATATTTTCGCCATCAAGATCACAAATGAGAGAAATAAGCTTACATCATTTAACCATTTCTTACATCACTTTTAATACACATCAGAGTATAATAGTTATTGTTATAACAGCGAAATATAATCATATTATCAGAGTTATGAACAATTTAATTGAACAGCGGAATATAAACATGTGATCAGAATTACAGCGGAAAATAATTATCTAGCCATGGCACGATGAATCATTGATATGTAAATTATGACAACAGATTGCAATACTTTCATTCATAAAAACATTTAGTGAGAGTTATAAATAAAAACTATGATCGTGACGTAAAGAAATCCTCGCTGAGCCCACTAGGAGGAATCCACACACAAGGGTCAGATCTAGCATCCACTTGTTACCTGTAATAGGGGGAATAAAACCCTGAGTACTCAATTGTACTTAGCAAGACTTACCCGACAGGAGAAAAGAAAAGACTCCAAGGATATGTAAGGCTATCTGGCTTGTGGGTTTATTGCATTTGCAGGAAGCATTACTAAGCGTGCGTCCTTATATTCGATTTTTATTAATAGCCACATTGGTTCATTAACTAACCATTCTATGTAAGCACCTGTACTACTTTCAAGCATGTGGTAAGCAATCAGATTTCCATTTCCATCTTTCATCTTTAGTTCTTACTATGATGCTAGGCCGCAGACGAGCCGTATCGGATCCCCCGGCGATTCA